AAACTTCTTCTTGGGTAAAGTCAAGAGAACTAAGGTTTCGGCAATGCTGTAGTTCGCATTATTTAGATTTACCTAAAAATAAAAAAAATTTAAAAAAAATGTAATTATTTTTTGCTACATAATTCGTTTATTGTAATTACTCTCTTTTTAGCTGATCTCGCATATATTTACATTTCGTTTTTTTTTTATTTCATAAAATTTCTATAATTAGACAACATAAAAATTAACACATCGATTTGCACCTAAAACACTAAACTAATTCTGCTCCAATTTGTTATTGTTATTCTGTTCTCGTTTGTTTGTCTTATCATTTTACATACACAAGTGTCTCTCCATATACCAAAATTTTGTAATAAAAAAATATCGTTTACATAATTTCAGATTATATATTATTATTATTATTGTTATACGTAATAATAGTTATTATTATATAAAAAAAAAAGGTAAAATATTTATCATTTAAGTGAGAAAATCTACAATTCTTCGTTAAATCTAAAAAATACGAAACTACACATTTTCTCCACTATTTCTCATCCTAAATTCTATGCGTTAACCCAAAGAAAAATGCGTCGTCTCCGAAAAAAATGATCTAAATATACATTATATTTTCACTTCTCAAACGATCTCAAATATATTCTCGGACTTTGGGAAAACGGAAAAAATTTATATATATATTAAAAAAAAAAAACAAACACGAAGAACATTTAAGTTAATAAGATTAAAAAGAAATAGTTGAGATCAGATGAAAAAAATTAAGTTTTCTTTCTTTTTATTTAACTGTTAAAATTAAAAACAAAACTATATTAACATTTCTTTCATAATATTAAATTAAGCGATTTGATGACTCTTTTTGATTGATTAATTGATTGATTGATTACAAGGAAACGGTTATTGCTATAAACCAATTATAAACAATAGAAATTTAAAAAATTAAGTATAGTTTATTAATTGAAGATATTATTTATAGAATAATATATTACAAAATGAAATCAGAGATATTTTATAATATACAATGTTATAACTTTCCTTTGACAATGGCCAAATCGCTTGTACGTAGGAATTCGGTAATAAACAGAAGATGGTTTATGATGATACAATGCTACGAGTAGACTAGATCAAAGAATGATTGTGTTGTGGTTACAAGTGAGAAATGCGAGAAGGAAGAATTTCATTGAAAATAAACAGAACATATTGAAAACAAAATAAATAAATTTCGGCTTCTGGTTGAGTGTCTTTCACTTTATTATTTTTTTTTTGTCTTTTGTAACTCTTCAGCTGCAAATGATTAAGCAAGGGAGAGCGCACTAAATTAACATTAAAATTTATTTTAACTTCTTCGTTTTCTTCTTTGTTCACTTTTTCTTTCGTTTTGCTTTGTATTCTGAAACGCATCACTTATTTACATTTGCCGTACTATTATTGTCACAAATAGTTAAAGAAAGAGAGAGAATCACTATGTTATAAAATAAGAAAGAAAGAAAGAAAGGAAAAAAAACAAATTAATTTACCATCACAATAAATTATTATCACCATTGTATGCATTACAATTTATAAATTGTCCTGTGTGTTCGATAAAAAACCCGTGTGTTGTTGTTATTATTAACTTGAATTTGAAAAAATGTATTCGTTACCTCTTTCGGTATTTTTTTTTTGTTTCATGTTTATAACATCCAGCACGCTACGACGATTGCTTTGTTTATTGTGAATTGATTTAATGATAGCGTTTGCGTTAACTATTTGTCAACTTACCGCCATATGTGGCCGGGTACATGGGGTAGCCCAGACCCACGTGGGTATGGTGATGGGTATGGACGTGACGCTGAGGAGGCGGACTTCTACTGTCCTTTCCTGCATCGCCAGGCGTCTGCTTACCGGATGGTGGTCCACCCTGACCAGGCATGTTCTGCTGACCGGCCTGCGTAGTGATGGGCTGCGGCATGACCTGGCCCGTGGGCATGCTGCTTACCACAGCCGAAGGACTGCTGCTCGCCACAGAGGTCTTCGGCGTCGGCGACTTTATGGCGCGTTCCTGCAGTTCGTGGATTTTGTGGGCAGAGTAGTAGTTCGCGTGCTGCTGCAGCATGTCCAGGGCCTTCGACGGTGGTTGAGCCCTCGACAGATCCTCGGGTCCGTGATACCTGGGCATCTGCGGGTGCAGGTACGGACTGCCGCTGTACGGCCCCGGCACCATTATACCGCGGTACATGTGGTGGTTCGGATCGAAAGGCAGCGCCCCGTAATGCGGAGACTGCATGTAACTTGGATGAATGGTGTAGTACTGTTGAGACGTGGGCGGAGGCGGTGGACCTAAACAAACAAAAATCATTTATATTTGATAATCTGAGATTAAATTAAAGACTATTATTACCTTGAGTTTCCATGGTTGGTTTGACTCCTTCTTGCTTAATCTCTTTCTCCTTTTTATCTTCGCTCTTAATACTGCTCTCCTTACTCGAAGAATGTTTATTCATACTTTGACTCTGAGATTGACTTTTGCTCGAAGGCACGTGTTGTTGTTTCTCCTGCTGCTGCTGTTGTTGTTGCACTTGCTGCTGATGCTGCTGCTGCTGTTGCTGATGCTGCTCCTTTCTGTGAGGATCAAACACGTAGAACCTTCTGACCTCCTGCTCCCTTTGATTGTGGTGTTGTTGCTGAGCCTGCCTCGAGTACACGTACGGAGACATCTGATTCTTGATCTCTATGCTCTCCTTAAGAATCTGATGGTTATCGTTCTTCTGATGATCCAGATCGACGAAGGCAGTGTTACTGTTGCGATGGCTGTACGGCGATTCAGGCATGTGATGGTTGTTGCTGCTGCTGCTGCTGCTTTTGATCGGCGTCGAATCTGAGACTCCACCGCTCGACGCACTTTTCACTTTGCCGGGCGTCGGCACCTGTATGGGATTTGGAATGGGAGCGTTCTGCTGTTTAACTGTCTGATCGATGGGACTCTGGTTCTCCTTGATCCGTTCCTCTTTGATCTTATCGGCGTTATCCGCGAGAATCGGCACCGAGCCGAAGGAAGGTTCGTACGGTGAGTACGTAGCGTACTGCATCGGATTGTACGGATAGTAATGCTGCATAACCTTCTGCTGGTAATCCGCAGTCGTTTCCTTCTTCTGTTCTTTCTCCAAAAGTTTGTCGTTGATCTTGTCAGGTTCCTTTTGCTTGGCCGCTTCTTGCGCCTGCTGCACCGAAGATACAAGGTAAGGAGGTTGCGCGTAAAAAGACATTCCACCGTACATCCCTGAATAAAAGCAAAATGATTAGTTTTTCAAAATATTAAGCGTATTGATTTTCTTACCGTATTGAGGAATATGCGGCATGGGCTGTGCATTGTCCGGCTTCTTATCCGCTTTGTTCTTATCTTCTGACTCCAGAACAGGAGCTCCATCGTCTGAGATATCGGAATAGGCAGGACTCTGCACCTCGTCGCGACCCGCCTGTTCCATGCCGAAGACGGGCGTATCGTTCTGCAGCGGTGGATCAGGACTGCCGGCCGGTGATTTGCGGTTTTTCTTCTTAAAGCTCGGCGGTAACGACGGCTTGATAGGCGTTTTGTTCTTGTCCTCGGGCATCAGAGCAGCCGTCGGTTTCACCTTGAACTGCGGCGCCACGGGATTCGGTTTGGGGCTCTGAGACGGCGAGTTCTGCGGCGGCATTTGGCTGCCCATGTTCTGGGTGGGTATCAACAGCATCGGAGGCTGCGAGAACGTCGGTTGCGATGTCTGCAGTTGATTGGCGAACGACTGAGTTTGCAGCGAAGGAGGAATCACCTCTGGTTGCTGGATCTGCTGAACCTGTTGGGGTTGAGGCTGTTGCGGCGGTAACACCAGCGGCAAAGGCGGAGGAGGTTGTTGTTGTTGTGATTGAGTTTGTTGTTGCTGCTGCTGCTGCTGCTGTACAGGTTCTGGAACTAAACTTCGAACGCTTACTGGATTCGGTAGAGTCGTGCCGGAAAGTACTAAAAAAATAAATTGTATAATTAATAAATCTTTGCGTAAGGAAAATAAATATTTACCTGAGTTGTTTTGTGCTTTGTTCGTTGCAAAAACTGCAACTCCTGTAAATTCTTCGTTTGTAGAAGAATATCGCAAGACGCCTGGTTTGACGACGGTTTTCGTGGAAGTGTCGATGGTTGGTACGGGTACGGTGGGCGAAACTGCAGGTGCTCCCATGTCTTGTATACTCTGTGGAGTGGCAGGTGATGGAGGTGTACTCCTAGGGGTGCTGGGCTGAGTGGGTACTTCGAGACCGCGAAGTATAGACGGCGGCAACTCCGTTTGGTCTTTCTTCTGTGGGGTCGACGGAGAGGAGTCTTGACTCTTCTCTGGAGACTTGACGGGTGTCGCCGGGCTCGGAGCTTCGATGTTGCTCTCGTCATTCTCGGACATCGAGGTCACGTCCTTGGTATCTTCATCGTCGCCGGCGTTGTGAGCATGCGACTGATGATACTTCAGTCCGTTGATGTGCTTGTACTTCTTGGAGCAGTTGGGTTCGGGGCACTCGAGGAGCACTGGAGACGGGGGTGGACTTGACGAGCTGTTTGTTGATGGGGGGATCGTCGCCGGGGGCACCGGCAACACTTTCGTCTTCTTCGCGGTCGTCTCCTCTTCGCCAGCGCGACTCTTCCTCTTATTCGAGGGTTCCGGTCGCGGCGGTATGAAGGGCGTGGGTGAGGCAGGCGCCGTCGGCGGTGCGGATCCGTTGGAGGCGCCGCGACGACCTTTGACGGCGCCGCCGTTCCTCAGTTTGCTGTGCACCGAAGACCTCGTCTCCGTGAAGTTACTGAGGTCCGTACTCGGAGTTGCGCCGGCCGCTGACCTGCCGCGTTTTCCCCGACCCTTCGGGGTACGAGTGTCCAGGTCACTTGTAGGTGAATCACAGAATCTGCAAGAACGAAAAGATAAAGAAATGTTTATGTAACCGCTGCAGCACACATCGTAGCAGTGAGTCGTGAGTGTACATACCTAGGGGGTGCCCAGTCATGCCTGGTGCAATCGAGCAGCGTTCCAACATATGTCTTCCCTCGCCAAGTCACGTTCACAACGAGAACACCACCTTCCGTTTCGTGCCAGACGATGCCCTCCAAAGTCACGCTTGTTCCGGGTTCGCAAGGTCCCAAACAGTCCGGTTCCGTTATTGTACCCACGCTGGTACCCACGCAAACATCATTCGTTTCCTGCAACAAACACATCAAAATCATATATCATAATCATAATCATTACTATAGCATTAGTACATCAGCAAATTATAAATTCCATACTCAACGTTCATTAATATTGTAATAAAGTAATATTACTAAGAAAATTTAGTTTTCAGTTCATTTTACATAATAGAAGGCTTTGGGTCATTCAAAGAGACATTAAGTAAAAATTAATATGATTTCATCCCATTAAAAAAAAACTGTTTATAATTATCTAAAACTAATTTCGTAAAAAAATATCACTAAACTGTAATGCAGTAAAATATCTGTTTCATGGAAAATCATTGATGTGCAAAATTAATGGAACTGGGATTGTAATAACTGTAATCGTTGGACCCAACCCCTTGTTACGTCCCTGATGCGGCGCTATTAAAATGGTATTATCCGTCGTCGATCGTTTAAAGTTAATAATAGATCTTTAGCGTCAGGGAATTATACTTGATGAGGAGAGGCAATCGCTTATAAATTGTATATATCTATGGCATATATAAACCTGTTGCTTGTCTGCAGCAGCAGCAGCAGCAGGATAAATGATAGTCTTCGAGGTATATCGATCGACATCGGTGGTGGGTCACTGCTTCTTCGAGGTTGGGTTGGGTTGAGAGGGTGCGCGTTTTGATGATGCCCTGGGTGTGGTGGCGGCGGCGGCTCTCATATCGATTCCTCTTACTAACCTCATCCTCCTGCTCTTCCACCCTCGCTACTACCACCACCGACCCCATCAAACCCTTGTGCCACCACCGACTCTCGCAAACCCAACCCTTCGAAGTCGCGCGACCGGCATACACAATGCGGTCGAGAGCCGCAGAGACCTGATAAGTAAGTCAACGAGTTTAGTGGAATGGGACGTCCAGATCCTTCTGATTCACGAGATGATCACGATACACGACCCACCCGACAGAAACAATAAAGAAAAACAAGATATTCATCCCTTTATATTTCCCACACTCTTTTACCGCTTCCCAGAAAGTTCTTGAACTAGTTTCACCATCAAAATGCAAATATCTCCACAAATTAAACCGCACTAATCGTTATTTATAAAAGTATCATCGCGTGAAAATCAATTTAATAAAACTGAACGCCTTAAAATAAGTTTGAGAAGACTTTTTCCTCATGAAACGAAACCAGGGAGTAATCAATTAATTCCCGTGTAAACGATTTGAGTATGCACCGAGGAGGAGGTAAAACATTAATTATGATTCGTTTTTCCGCGGATAATTAGAATTCCCGCACCGAAACGCTAATCACTTTCACCTCTACTGCACCAGGTGTAGTTAATGAAGGCCTCGCATGATCTCGTCTTCTCGATGCGCGAAGCTTAATTACTCTTCATAATTGGATGCACATATCGAGGGAATAATGAATTAACAACACTCGACGATCGTGATTAATCGCGAGCCGTGCGTTAGGATAATCTTCCACCCTCGTCCGTCGTTCTCTTCATCAATTTCAGTGGACCTCTCGCATCGTCGTCGAAGTGTTAAAATTGGGGGATGATGATGATGATGATCGGAAAGGATTCGGCTCTGTTCCTGCGGGTTTACATCTGTTTGCCACGACACTCTAAATCCGTAACATCGCGGTGGGTCTTTATTCTTCTCCTCTCATCATCATCATCATCAAATTTATTTCAATTACATTGCTTAGAAAACACTACAAAATTATTTGCTGAATGTCTCTAAAATTAACCGATTTATGAACCTTTTGAGATTAAATAACCGATTTCCAAAATTTAAAAAAAAAATCAAGATTCAATTTGTCATAACAATAGACACAATTGTTTTATAAGGCTAAAATTTCATACTTAATAATTGACAGTTTAATTCACTTTATATTCATGTCTCAATGGTTTTACAAACAACTTCCTCCTTCGCATGAAATCTTACTTTTTATATCTAAAAAAAAGATCATGTTTGCTCGATTTTTATAGAAAAATAATCATATTTTACGTGGTCTCACTTAATAAGGATTAATTGAATTCGTTTATTTAATTTGTGAAACATAACAATTACAGTGCAAAAAGGATATCTCACAAATGTTTGGCAATGAACTGGTTGAACTTACAAACTTATTGCAGTTCAGAAGCCATCCAATTTAAAGTGGAACATTTAAACCACGAGTGAGAAAAGGAAATTGTAACAAATAAATAATGGTAATCAGAGCAAAAAAGTGCGATATATAATATAATGTGTTGCGGATTGAGGTCGAAACACTAAAATGGAGATTGCCTGCATTCGAGTATGCAAATGCTGTTTACACGATTCTATTTATTTTTCTTTGCACGAATAGAATTCATATTTAAAGCTGAACCTTTCGGAAACTTGCATTGTTTAAGCTTCGTTTCAGTGAACATATTCTCCTTCTCTCAGAGAATTTTTGGCAATTCAGTGAAAAACGGTGGTTTCTAAAGTCGTTATAAGTACACATGATTTTCAGGACGACGCCTTGTTATGATGATTTAATTCGGAAAAGTCTATAAGTTTGAAGAGCACAGTTTATAGTAAATTATTTTAGTCGATTTTTTGTTTGACAATAAGAATATTTCATAAACTAATTTCGTTACTTTCGCTTTAATAAAATAATCAAACTAAAGTATTTGATATAAGTGTGTTACTTATATAACATTTATAAGTTAAAATTATTGATATTTACCATATTACAAGTTGAATATTTCAATCACAAAATACATTTTTTTTTTATTAAATTATTCACTCTACAAAAACTTTCACTAACTTAAATTTGGTACAAGACTTGGATGCATTCTATACCAAAAAAAATATATATATTCTAAACTGTATTCCAAACGAATGGCTTTGAACTGATACAAAAATATGTCTAGGTTTGACTGATAATTAAATAACGATTTACTTTAATGATGTATTTTTGGAAATGTAAAATTAAATGCAATACAAAACGGAAGCAGTCCGAGTTTCCCTTTCGGTTCTGATAATTGAAGGGTGTAAAGAAAGTATTTGTAAAAAAAAATTAGAAGGAACGTGATGAATAGAAAAGGGTCAAATGGTCATGATCCACGAAAAGGGGAAGAGATGTGGGTTTCAAGTGATGTTTCGGTTAATTCGTGACGATGAAATCCTCCACGACACGCTCATTAAACTACCAAAAGGTGGGGTGGCTCGGCTTTTGTTCCTTGCATTGTTTGTTTGCCAGCAGCAAATGCCCCTGACAAAACACAATGAGCAAAAAAAAAAGACTGAGCGGTAAGTCGAAGGGTTGAAAAGGGGAAAAAATGGATTATAACTAAATGTATATTATATAATTTAATGAGCATCTGCATCAGCTTATGTGCTTTCGTTACTAAAATATTATCATGGAATTAAATAACGTTGAGATTATTGTTGTTTACATTTGCAGTGTTTCCTTTGTGATGGGTAAGAAATGGATAGAAATTTTCGGAGGGTTGGTAAAAATTTCAATGTTTGTTCATTTTTCTGTGTTGTAAAAGTATTGAGAGATATGAAAAATTGGATTATGGAGCAGCTGCGGTGTAATTTCCTCCCCTGTGTGTTATAATGTCATGGCATAATAAAACGAAGTAGGAGAGATAGCGGGAAACGAATTTTCTTGACAAGTTAACTTTTATTATCCCTCGGTGCCGACGCGTTTACTTACCGCATACATACATACATACATACATTGTATCAATTGGGTTTTTCGTTTTGTGGGTCAGAAGGAGGAGGAGACGGTTGGTGGTGGAAATCGGAAACCGGAAAGAGATGGCGTGACGGATCACATCTGTTGTTACTCTCTCGTCTCTCTCTTTCTCATTCCCACACTCCTTGTGTTTAGAGGTTGGCACTGCTCTTCGTGCGGGGGCGCTGATGGTGGTGGTGGTGGCACGTTTTCAAAAGGCTGCCGCCTCCTACTCCACCGCCAAACCCACCCCCGCGACTTCGGATCAATACTGCGGTGGGCTCAAGTACAAAGCCGTATTAAAGAACCGCAGATGTTCACGATCCACCGCGCCCCCTCATCCCCACAACATCACAACTTTATGAAACGTTTCATAACCAACGGAAATGGGAGACGAAAGATACGAAGACGAAAATATATATATACACAAGGGAAAAGATCCACCACCGTAGACAATTAACGCCGAACGAGATGGAGGATTCACCGCGTTAAACGAAAATAATAAAGAACCATTCTTTATTTTGAAATCCTCTAATGCAATTTCGCCGCTCAATTAGCAGAAAACACTGAAAAAAAAAACGAGAAAACCGCCATTTTTCTGTTACGTATAAGACGTTAATTATGTGTTTCTTTTTCAATTTCTCCATCTCATAGCAAGCGACTCGATGACAGCACGAAGATGTATGTAGTA